AACATCACATGAGACCAAAAGGCATAGCAGGATGTGCACAATACCCTCATCGAAAAGCATATGTGCAATAGGAACTCTGAGAAAGAACTATCAACATCAGAGGCCCGAGGCTGTTCAACACGCTTCCACTAAACATAAAGGGCATAACTAGCCGACCCTTCAGTGTTCAAGAGAGAACTCGATAAGCACCTCCAAAGGATACCTGATCAACCAGGCTGTGATTCATACATCAGGTTGCGAGCAGCCGCATCCAACAGCCTGGTTGACCAGTCCAGCAACAAGGAGGCCTGGTCGATGACTGGGCCATGGGGACGCTAAGCCCTGAAAACACCTTTAGGTAACCTTAAGGTAAGTCCTCTGTTTGAATTGAACCTCACTAAATGCTTCATCCACATACTGCAAATACTAATAATTGCCAATAGATCCTAACCTAACCTAGTTTAGGCCTAATTATTCAATACATTCCAGTATGTAATAATATTTACTTAAAGAAAATTAAAAAAATTTGAATAAGCACTACGTTAAAATTGATGAATGCATCTTTGGGTTCGGCCATTGCCTAAACAAGCATAGCCAGAGGACAGGTTAAGAATTCACTGTAAATAAATGTCACTTAGTAGAATGGTGATTAGGGTAGAACAGGCCACACTTAACCTACAAATTGTGAGAAGATACTAAAAACCTCTGATATTGAAAGATCTAGGAGTGGTTCTGGATAGTAAGCTGTAACCAGAGGGCAACATAAAAGGCATTGCGAGAGGAGTCGATGCTAAAGTCCCAAATTTCAGAACCCCCCTTGAAATATATGGACAGAAATATTGGAGAAACTGGTCATGGATTTTGGAACACCAACATTAGAAGATGCAGCAGTGGTGTAGTGTCAATATCTCAAGAAGCACAAAGGATGAAAAAAGACATGCTACTGTATTAACTTACTCCTGGAACTTAAGACCATGAGCTATGAGAAGAGGCTAGAGGCATTAAGCATATCAAGGCTAGTAGTTAGGAGGAAAAGGCGACATCATTCAATACAAAGTACAGTAGTAACAATTAATGAACAATATAGATGACGAGGAATTTGTTAACCCCGCAACTTCAAGATCAACTAGGAGGAAACAAAGATGTCAAAAAATTTAACTTTTTTTGTGAACAGTTATAGATGGTTGGAACACGTGTGATAATGGTGAATGCCAAAACTATTAGTACTGTAGTTTTAAAGCATTGCATGGCAACGGAGAAGGGATAAAGACCATAGTGCTCATCTTGTAACTACACTTAAGTAGTTACACTTGGGTAACTGTGTTTGCAAATTATGCCTATCACCTGGGTGCATTCTCAACTACCACCTGAAACTCCAAGAAAATTTAAAATGTCACCAGTGCATACCAAACACACCATACTACTCTGCATAACAATATCAGACCTTGAAGTCTGTATATCTTCAGATGTACAAAAAGCAAAAAAAATTCACTAGACATGAAAATACCACTAAAGAGTAATGACACACTGCTACTCCTGGATGCACACAAGGCAAAAAATCTTGGAGATAGGTATGTAATCTTAGAAGAATGGTAAATATACTTAATATAAAGGAAACAAAGCAAGGTACTGTATAATGCTTAATATATACAGTTAAATAACAAAATACAATACTGACAAAATTCACTTACAATTGGATGACATGTCTCACTCTGGAGACCAGAACCAGAGGTATCGGAACACTAAGAAATGTGATCCAAACTCAACTTGTTTAATTATTTTCTTTGATATCTCAGTAGGCAATGCAAATACAGACTGGTTCCGCATACCATTTTCTAGAAATACTTTACTTTTAATTCCTACCATAAGATTAAAAATAAGCCTAATAACTTTTGTCCTCTGGAAATGTCATTAACATTCTTAAGTGTCTGGAGACAGGCAATTTCATAGTGCACTAAACAGGTAGGCAGTGGATGATATGGTACTGTGCTAGATGAACTTAATCTTATTAGGTCAGATGAAATTAATGTGAACCACTGTAATGTAGTCAATGGCTACTAATTTACATTGGTTAAGCATTTTGAAATACATTCTGTGTTGAGCTACAGTAGTTCTGCAGTTCATCAAACTCAATAAAGAAGGGATTGGTTATTTGGTGTAAATTCAAGACAGTGATGAATGTAGTATGGTCAGAATAGACAACGTCAAACATCACTGCCAAAGAGATAATGCTGCAGCATTTAATAAAAAGATATACACACTCTGTGTTAATCAAAATTTAACAAGCTTAAAATATTTGGTAGATTTATACTGAATATTAATCATTTCTACAAGTACTCCTAGTAAGCCTATATTAACCATGCTATGATAACAGGAATTCTTCTTAAGCAACATATTAATTATCCTAAGGTAAGGTGATTAACAGGAGAAAGCACTAAGCCAGAATGAATTGCCGGAACAACCGTGGACATCTTCAAGAGGAAACTAGATTGTTTCCGCCAAGGAATGCCGGATCAACCGGGCTGCGGTGGATATGTGGGCCTGAGGGCTGCTCCAAGAAACAGCCTAGTGGACCAAACTCTCAAGTCAAGCCTGGCCTCGGGCCGGGCTTAGGGAGTGGAACAACTCCCAGAACTCCCATCAACCAGAATCAATGACTAATTATCCAAAGGCTTACACTGTAATGACTCACTGTAGACACATGGATTAAACAACCACACAAATTCTCACTATCTTGAGCTACCCACTCCCCCAATTGTAGTACTTATGACATGCAACATCATTAGTATAAATAATGCAATCAATTTTTATTATACTTATTATGCTGAAATCCAATTCTGCTACAATGAACCTTTTAATTCATCTTGCCTTTATCTGTTAGATTAAGGACCTGCCCAAAATACCGTGTGTTAGTGGCTTTGCAAGAATGTAAGAACACCAATGTTATGTACTCTTGCATCCCAGTGTACCTTCTTGTATATACAGTATATAAATAAATAATTTCTGTAGCTTCTTGCATTGTTCTTTTTATTTAACTACCTAATCTTAAATTCTTATGCTAGCTTATCGTACTTGCTTTCATAAAATAACATTGGTAATTAGCCTTGTAATATGACATCAATCACACATTGTATTTCTTATGAAGCATAAAAAAATAAACAATGAATTATAGACATCAAAATTTTAAGGAAAAACTCCAGAATGTTATTAAATTACATATCACACAGTACATTAACAACTGAAGATTGATCAATCAAGACATTTCAATAGCAAATACTAAAGCTTCACAAAAACAATTAGGTATACAATACTTATACAAAACCACCAGCAAGCTAATGACGAAAAGCCACCAATATTATAATGATGGGAATTGGACTGAACCAAATACTGGAACATGAAATTATTCAATGCATTTAATCAGTTGACCCAAAAGCTTCACCAGAAAAGTCAAATACAAATTACAAAATAATGTATTTATGCATAAGAAATTACACAAATAATCCACATTAATGGATATTAATTTATCAAAGCAGCAAAAAAAATGAACCAGTTAACAGCAAAAATTGGGAATCAAAATTCTTTAGTAACTGACAAGAAATAGCAGAATGTACAAGTTTCACTTTCAAATTAGTGGATGGGAAAGCAGGCATAAATTAGATCCAATGTGTGCACTTCATTCATCCTTTATCAATGAAACCATGTATATTAGCTACCAATATTTTTTTTCCTCCTTACAAGTACTGCATATAAATGAGTTTTATATCTAACTTAAGTACAGGTCTGCCCATGTAAACAGACGTCCCCAGAAGGGGTTCTGGGAGATGCTCTACCTCCCAAGCCCAGCCCGTGACCAGGTGTAAGCCTCATTTTTTGGAACCTGCACATATAAATGAGTTAAGAATAGGTCCCTAAGTATGCAAATTACAATTTTGGGGGGAACAGGCATAGGGAATGTTAATCACCTATTTTTTTGAAGAAGCATGTTTACTATCTGTAAATGGCTTTTTTTTTCAATCAGGTTGTGTACTATAAATTACCCCACACCAATTTCCTGAAGCAAGCATGTGTACTGCAAATGAACTAATTATTGGAATAGGTATTTGTATTATAAATAATTTTTGGAGTAGGTTGTTCAAGCTGCCTAGTCTGGGAGGAGTGGCTTACAAAAATAAACTACATTTAGAGCAAGTAAAACAGGACATATTCAGATGCAGAACAAGATAATAAGACCTATGAAACTGAGCACTTCTTATGTGTATATACCAAGCGTTTCAGAGTAGGGTGTTCCGTTATGCTGCATTAAAGGCTATAGGTAAATGAGCGAATTTAGAACGGAACCATTTCGGACTAGGTGGCTGCCTAAATGGTCATATTTACTAACCAAAGTAATCCAGGTAGTTTATGTACTATAGACCAATATTTAAGGGACCAGTTTTGAGTACAGAGTTCATGGAACTAATTTTGGGTAATTAGGGGTGGTAGTTTTAGACATAGGAGTATGTGAATAGTAGTTTATGTAAGTCAATGAGCTAGTGTTAGGCCTAAGGGGCAGAAAAGTGATCTACAGATCTTGAAGTCAAGCTATATAGTAGTTTAGTAGTTTATTGAGCAAAGGGCTACTAGTTCTGGGAGTTGAGGGCTAGGTTTAGGCAGGGGTGATAACTGTTCAATGTTGTTCAGGCAACAGGGCCAGTCCTGGACGCCCGAATGGCCTACATTCTTGTTTAGGGCGAGTGAATGGGCCAGGTGTTGGAGGGGTGGGTGGGGCATGGGAGGGCCTACCTGCCATCAGCTGTCAGTTGATGAGAGTGCCTCCCATCACCCCTCCCATCCCTACCCCTCACACCTCTCCCCCTCCCATCACCAGATCACATTCCCTCTGCCTCATAATCCTCCTGTATCGGGAAGTACAGTATTTGTGGTTTTTTAAACGGCAACAGACACGGATAGTGTGAGTGGCAGGGCCGCCACCACGGGGGTAAGGAGAGGCACGTCAGGCAAATTACAAGAGGACTTCTTACCCATATATCGGCGTGGGTCTGATTATCGGCACATATCTCCTCGAAGGGCACGGTGGCATCGGCTACGAAGTCGTCGTTGCCGACCGGAGAATCATGGAAGATCTTGAGGCCGAGTTGGACGGCCCCGACCACCTCATGCTCGAACCACTCGTTCCACACGGGCGTCAACGTCTTCTGCCGCGGCTGGGTCTTGTTCCAGTGCACTTCGTCAAGATCTAAGCTAACATAGGGATCCAGGGTTTGGTCCTGTGGGCCCTTTCCAACCCCTGCCACTCCGACATAACGAGTCATACAGTCGGTAAGGCGCAGATCTGCAGCTTCGCATATTTTCACTCTAATGTTGCCCGTGAACATCGCCTGTGTTATTTCTGATCAGGTGCTCACAAGCCCTGTCTCACCTCACGAACAGATCCCAGTAGTGCATAAGGGAAATGGGGGTAAAATTGAGTGTAAAGCCCGGCCGTACTGTCACCCATTCAACACCATTCGATAAAACTGGTGCGAGCCTCATTACGGTGCTGATGACGTCACGGGCCCTTCAGCCTGTGTTGCGGGGGCCGCCCTGTCTGCCCCGCCCGCCCACAGATGGCAGCACCTCCACTACCACCACCACTACCACCACTACTACCTCCTTCACCACTACTACCACCACCACCACCACTACCACCTCCTTCACCACTACTACCTCCTTCACCACTACCACCACTACCACTACCTCCTTCACCACTACTACCACCACCACTACCACTACTACCTCCTTCACCACTACTACCACCACTACCACTACTACCTCCTTCACCACTACTACCACCACCACCACTACCACCACCACCACCTCCTTCACCACTACTACCACCACCACCACTACCACCACCTCCTTCACCACTACTACCACCACCACTACCTCCTTCACCACTACTACCACCACCACCACCACTACTACCACCACCACCACCTTCACCACCACTACTACCACCACCACCACCACTACTACCTCCTTCACCACTACTACCACCACCACCTTCACCACTACTACCACCACCACCACTACTACTACTACCACTACCACCTTCACCACTACTACCACCACTACTACTACCACCACTACTACTTCTACTACTACCACCACCACCTTTACCACTACTACCACCACTACTACGACCACCACCACACCACTACCACCACTACTTCTACCACCATCACCACCTTTACCACTACTACCACCACCACTACCACTGTACTACATTACCACCACTCACCACTACTACCACCACCATTACCCTACAACTACTACTGTACTACCATTGCCCACAACTACTACCACCATCTTCACCACTACTACCACCACCATTACTGTGTACTACCACCATCACTGCTGTATACTATCACCACTACTGTACTACCACTACCACTACCACCACTACATTGTACTGTATTACCACCACCACTACTACTGTACTATCATTACCACCACCACTACTGTACTATCATTACCACCACCACTACTGTACTATCATTACCACCACCACTACTGTACTATCACTATCACCACCATTACTGTACTGTGCCATTTTCCTGCTAGAGTACAATAGGAAATACATAGGAAATGTAGAATGCATAGGAAGGAATACAATAGGAATACATAGGAAAATGACATTGCAAGTTAAGCCAAGACCCAACCAAAACTGGTCCGCAGCCGCATCAGAAGGAATGAACAGCAATGAATGAACAAGTAACTAAACTGAGAACAGAAGAGAACACATTCACAGAGAATGACAAGGAGACGTGTGAAGATATCAACAAGAGATTCCAGGAGGTCTTTACAAGGAGAAGTCCCTGTATTGGGAGAGAGAGGAGGAGGCAAACCAAGCAACCTTAGAGGAATTTGAGATTACCAGAGATGAGATCAAAAGAAATCTGTTGGTCCTGAATGTGACGAAGGCTGTCAGGCCTGACAAAATCTCACCATGGATACTAAAATAAGGCGCACAAGCACTGTGTGCCATTCTCTATGGTATATAACAGGTTACTAGAAACAGGAGACCAACTGGAAAATTGGAAGACAGCTAATGTAGTCCCAATATACAAAAAGGGTGACAGGCAAGAGGCACTGAACTACAAGCCAGTTTCCCTAACTTGTATACCATGCAAGGTGATGGAGAATATCATGAGCAAAAAACTTGTAGAACATCTGGAGAGAAGGTACTTTGTAACACACCACCAGCATGGGTTCAGGGATGGTAAATCGTGTCTCACAGGTTTAATATGACCTGGTGAGTGGTCAGTTTAAGATGACCAAGTCTACGACCAGGCGACACAAATTAGGCAAGAAAGAGAAGGGTGGGCAGACTGCATTTTCTTAGACTACCAGAAAGCTTTTGACACAGTACCCCATAAAAGCCTGGTACAAAGTTGGAGAAACAAGCAGGAATAACAGGTGTTCCAGTGAATAAGGGAGTATCTAAGCAACAGAAAAAGCGAGTTACTGTGAGGGGGGAGACCTCAGAGTGGCGAGATGTCATCAGCGGGGTCCCACAGGGCGCTGTAATTGTAATTGTAATTATACCACCTAATCATAAGCTGTATCACAATCACCACCATTACCACCACTGTACTACTGCCGCCACTTTATCAAGACCACCACGTGTATTGTCACTATCACTACTCTGCTCCAACTACCACTGTAACACCACCACTGTATTAACCACCACCTTTTGTACCACAACTATGTATTATCACTACCACTGTATCGCCACTGTACAACCATTCAAAAAGTACAAGAGTATACAACATTAGCCTCAGACCTAAGAAGCCCTTATAGGTACGTTAAGGTGCGTCGAGGACTGGGCAAAGGAACTAAATCTCACAACCGTATACAAGGGCTGCTATACAGAAGAGAAGAAACAGATGGGATATGATCACGACATTCAAGATACTGTGGAGAATAAATAAGGTGAACAAGGACAGCCTTTTAATTTAAAGTAAGAGAAAGTAGGAAAGAGGAAGCCTGAAACGCAATGAATCGAAGAAATTTAAGGAAATACTCGTAATTACTAGGCTACATAGCTACCACCATCAAACCTACACCACCGTCCTATTTAACTAGCTCTCTCTCTCTCTCTCTCTCTCTCTCTCTCTCTCTCCTCTCTCTCTCTCTCTCGCTTCTCTCTCTCTCTCCTCCTCGCTCTCTCTCTCTCTCTCTCTCCTACTCTCTCCCTACCTTAATGCGATATTATCCACTCTCTCTCTCTCTCTCTCTCTCTCTCTCTCTCTCTCTCTCTCTCTCTCTCTCTCTCTCTCTCTCTCTCTCTCTCTCTCTCTCTCTCTCTCTCTCTCTCTCTCTCTCCCTACCTTAATGCGATATTATCCACTACTCCCCCTACCAAAAGTGCGGATTTTATTTCAGTGTTTTTGTGTAGTTCGTTATTGTTCCTATGAGAAACTTTGTGGCCGTCCACAGATGGCGCCACCATTACCTCTATAAAATAAAGTTCTCAAAATAAAATTAGATGTAAAAACTAGCTGATCATTTAATTCACGATTGACTGTTCTCTGACCCATGATGAAGTACAGTTGCCAACTGCTACAACTCTGTGACAAACACAGTAATTGTGTTAACAAACGACCTGTTGTTATAATGGTTTGGACACTATTCAATCCACTTGCCTGCCCACACAAGAAACCACCTAGTTAATATTAGTGTCCCATTGATGGAATTAGAAATCGTGTTAGGATTATCGAGGTTTCCCTTGGCCGACGACTAATCTTCCTCAGAATGCAGTCCACAATAGTTGCCTTTCTCCCTGCTGGTACCTATTTACTCCTAGGTGAACAGCGGCTTCAGACGTAAAGAAACGTAACCAAACGTCTCGCCTGCGGAAACCCAACCCTGGGTCATAACCGCCCACGGGATGGGTATGGGTGCACAATAAAGAAATTGGAATTGGGAATTGTTCGTAATTCACTACACCCAGAGCCTCTAAGATTAAGATTGTAATCCATCTCCCAAGCACACCGGTTTGGGCTGTACATCACAACGTTTGCTCAAAATAGTAGTCCCTGAGGAACCTTGAAATACCTCTATTAATAATTAAATTAAATGATAAATTAAAATTGCATTTTCTGCAACCTAGCTATCAATTAATGTCTCAAGGTAGGTTTCCTGGCATTCAAAAAGCCACAACAAAAAATTAAAAATAACCCAGTTTAAAGAAGTAAAGATCCTCAGTCAATAGTCAGTTAGATGTTAGTAAACTCTTAAAAGCAATTCGTTTACAACAAGCCAATAGTTATAGGTATATACAGGCACTACGTACCCGGGAGATAGGCAACTGTTGTGGGTTGTATCCTAGGGAAGGTGAGTAGTTGGCCTAGGAAAACCTGGATAAGTTTAAGTACAGGCTTCCTGTTCCCA